CCATAGACAAACTAAACATGCACCCACAGAGTGTAAGACATTGTGTATCTTACCAAAGCCATACCACACTTCCTGTAAAGCCATCCACAATGAGTGGCATGCTATGGTTATTTACCAATGTTAAGAGAAATAACTAAAACAAGAATCAAGACACCGCTTCAGTGGCCTGGTCCATAACCATCTCTTAGTAAAATCCCACATTTCCTAAGTAACAAGCTCACTGTCACTCTCCCCAGCACTCCAATCAAACACACCTTGATATTTATATATACTGACCAGAATTGGATTTCTAACCCAGGTTCTTTTAGGGGTAAAATTCACACTTTTGTTGTCACTAGTAACACATGAGGAAGGATCCTTTTGGACAGCGATCTCAGATGTCCCATCTGGAATATGCTGAAGCCACTCCCTAAAATTGGAGTCACAGTCCTGAGTGCCCCTATCACAACTGGGGCTACTACTGCCTTTACTTTCCACATCCGTTCTAGCTCCCTTTTTTAGTCCTTGGTATTTGTCCACCTTCTCCTGTTCTTTATTCTTGATGTTATAGTCACTGGGTATTTCCATATCCACCACCACTACAGTCTTGCGTTTCTTGTCTACCACCACAATGTCAGGCTGGATGGCCACTACTTGCCCTTTCATTCTTAACTACCCTTTTACTATCCCCCATCTGGACCTAGGCAGGACCAGCCCTTATTCTGAGCAGATATTTGGTAGACAATTCCAGTATACACTGTGCCTCTCAGTGTATGCTGCCCGTGCTAACATTTTGTACCTAGCTATAATTTGTTGGATTGTCTCAGAGGCCTTTTTCTACAGTCTGCACAAGCTGCCATTTTGGTACTTTGCTGTGGAATTTGCTGTGTTGAGGTGAAGGGATTTGCTGTTTCGGGTGGGAGCACTTGGATAGGAAAGACACCCTACTGTGGACTTTTGTGTGCTGTAAATACCTGTGTGGAAAAAAAATGAAATGCAAAGCTCAACTGCAGTCTGATTCTAGCAATTTTGCTCTAGAAGACAGTGGTTTAAAATGTTTATGTCACAAAATAAATAAAAAAAATAAATGTTTTATATATATATATATATATATATATATATATATACATATACACACATACTACATATTTGTACACACATATACCGCATGTTGCACTACTTGTTTTTGGCAATAATATACTTCTAGTCCACAACAGAATTTTCCACACAGTGCCTGGCTGTCTGAGCAATACTTATAATGAAATATCTCCTGCTGAAATATAAACATTATGCTAAGCAAGTAGAACAAACAGCCTCAAAACCCAGTTAATTATCAATGAGGCTTAATTCTCATCACTCATATTAATTGTGGAATTATACCTTTTCTCCAAGAGACTCAGGCTAATAATCAATCCATTTGTCTCTTTTAAGATAAGCTTAATTTTACTGAGCAGTCTGTCTCATTTCAGAGACAAATGGTTAGACTTCGGGCCAATGAGATTAAAGGCTTGATAGGGATTCATTAGTCAAAGATAATGAAACGGGCTCAATCGAAGAAGATCTTTTAATATGTGTTATTTGTATTCATGGTTAAATGATGTTGTAAATAAGATACCACTGATGATTTGCTGATGAGCTAAAACCCAAGTTAAAGTGATTCACCCTTCCTTTCTACCCTTCTCGATGGCTTATTATGAGAATACTTTATAATGTCTGGAAATATTATATTTGAAAGATGGAATAGCCAGGTAATAGTTAATTATATATTTTGCTTATTTCAAAGCTCCATGTATTCTTATACAGTCATGTTTTTGAGACCTTACAGATACAGTGATCCATCTAAGTGCATTCATGTTGCCACTTTATTTACAGCAGATCTAATCACCTGGACCATTACTTGCCTCAATTCCACGTCAACCACTTATTCAGGTTATAAAGGAACACTCCAGAACTCCAAAGCACTTTGACTTGCTGAAAAGCTTTGTGTGAAGAGTTTGTCCTCTTTTTCTTTTTCATTTTGTGAATAGTGCCTGTAACAGACCGTTTCTCTCACAAGAGGATAAAAACCGTTTAGGCGATAATCCCCTTTCCCATAGACCAGCAGCTACTGCAAGCACCAAACTCCCGAACTGCAAACTGTACGAATTCACCAACTCCCGAACTGGAAACACACGAACACTGGAATCAGCCGAACAGGAAAAGCATACAATCCGCTTACACTCCTGGCAGTCAGCATACAATCCAATTCCCCCCAAAAACGAGACGACACATCGGTTTGAGGGTCAAGCAGAATCTCCCTGTACTGTCACATACAGTCTCTTTTATTCCCAATCCACAAACATAGTACAGCCCACAGGGCGTTACAAAACAACCAATCAATCCGTACAATACACCCAGACACTCCCACACAAAATCCTCCCCTCTGCAGGTGATATGATTACTGAACACAATGGGTAATCTCATTATCACCGGCAGAGGAATACAGTTTTTACACAATATTTATAACTTCTAAAATATACATGTCACAAACATAAAACATACATTTTCATAATCAATCCATTCAGGGAAACAACATATTAAAAAATGGCACGAATCAGACCAGGGGTTCAAAAGTTAAGGGAAAGTCCTTTGTGACTAAATGAAGCATGGCTTTCTGGCCCAAACCAGTTTCAGAGTCTTCTATCCTGGAGAGTAATTCAATTATCTCCCAGGACAGACACAAGACTCCATTAAGCACATGGTTGCAAAAAGACACAAAACACTTTAAAATACATAAAGTCACCTTTTACACATAACACACAGACATTTCACATATCCCCAGATAGCTGGGATCTGAGCGCACATTATTAGATGAATGGCACTCAGATCACACAAATAAGCCTTTTGGCAGGGGAAATAAACGGTTTAACCTGCAGGGCCATAGTCCAAAGGGAGCAGGCGAGCAACCAGGCTTCGAAAATCTTCTTTCTTCCAGTCTAAACTCATGGCCTCGTGTCCTATTTAAAGTCCGGTTTGTGAATAGATTTCCACAAAATGGTTTGTATTGGCCACGAATATATTTGTATAATGTTATCATATCCCCTCTCAGGCGACGTTTTTCTAAACTAAATAGGTTTAAATTTGTTAACCTTTCTTCATAGCCGATATGTTCCATTCCTTTTATTAATTTTGTAGCCCGCCTCTGCACTTTTTCTAGTGCCATAATATCCTTCTTTAGAACAGGTGCCCAAAATTGCACAGCATATTCAATATGGGGTCTTACCAGTGACTCCTTAGGGGAACTTAGTAATATATCATATGATAGAATTTTGACCCTTACTAATGCCTACCAAAGATAACCCTCTTTACAAAGTTTGGCTATAGAACATAATCATACAATTATTCTGTAACCGCTGATATATCTCCATTGCATATATCGGTTGATTTGTTTTTTATTTAAGGAAGAAAAATACAATGATATTGTGCGTGTACAAAATTTAAATACTAGCCTTCCAAGTGGGAAAACTAGCCACAATTAAACTACTTTGTGATTCATACACTCTGGTTTTCAAAATTAGGCATTTTGTGTCTGGTGCAATAATGCACTTAGCCTAGTAATAGAACGGCAACCTAGTAAAACAAGCATGGCCCCTGACATATCTGAAACTAGCAATCTGTTGACAAACCTTTATTGGAAAACATGTTAAACATATGGCACCAAACATAAGTTCTTTCTTCAGAATGTTGTAACAGAGGTATACTTAATGGTTCAGATGAGGGGGTGTTTATGTCCCATAAAATCAAACAGTAAAACACTAGGCACAGCAAGAAGGACCATGAAGCAAGACCTTTAGGGCAACTAAATCAATTAAACATAATGCACGGCAACATGTGCTGTGAAGTATACCAACAGAGCAGTTATTGTCTATTTGCAGTACACAATTACAGGCCGTAAACAATATGGTGTTGATTAATGTACACTCAAACAGTACTTCACTTGTTGGATTTGTAGCAAAGGGGTAAAAAGGCTGGATGACTCACAAGTCCATTTGTTCCTTATTAGACCCTTTGGGCCAGCTAGACTCATTTTACCAATCAGCAACTGAAGAGAACAAGATACTCTCATTCTAAAATTATGATGTGTAATCTCATACACTGACATGACAGAGGATGTGAGAAAATGTATTCTACTCATCTCATAAAAACGATTAGGAATGACCACGAGGAACTTTTCCTTCTGGTGTGAGAGAAAGTAGACGTGAATAAGGTGGAAGTTTGTAAGTAGCTAATGGTTTATAATATGGTACAGCAAGGAGGTTTGTAATGGCACCAGTCAGTAACACATGGAAATATATCTTAACAGAAACATTATTAGATATCTAAAACAATGTCTATACTTGATCTCCAACTCAGTCCCTCTCCATCTGTAACAAAAAGCCCTAAAAATAAAATATGCCTTTTGCACTCCTTTGGGTGACACTGTCAAAGTGTTTTGTTCTGAAAAGCGGTCTCAAGTACTAAAAGTGTGGGGATAACCATGTAATTCTTAGTATTCTCTTGCACCATTTTCTGTACTGCCTAGAGTCTCCCTAAAGGTAAATTGATCATTCAGTCAGGGACGGGACCCCTTGCTTGCTATAACTAAGGGGTAACTAGGCCATAATGATCACCTGGGTTTGTCAGATGTGCAAATGGTTCAAATTGTCTCTGTAACAGTACAATATGAGTTAAAACCAACTTGAGATCTGAGTGAGGACCCAAAGGGCAAGCTATTGAGTTGTTGTCCATTCTCAGTATTTTCTTGTTTCACCTTGGAAACTAGTGGACCCAAAGACTACATTTCATTGAATTGAATTTAGTCAAAATCATGCAAGTTGTTATGAAATTATCACAACGTGATATAGAAAGAACCAAGGTTCCTTCTATGAACATGTGACATAAAAAAAAATGCAGTGAGACACTGCTGTGGACAGATATTCTTTAAGTAGTGAGATTCCCAGGCTTTAACATTTGACAAAATTAAATACCTGTTTGCTTTCTAGACTCACAGAAGTGCTGCACAAATGCAGTTTCAAGATCACATTGTTGTCAGCATTTTCGGAGATATAAACTCAACTTTGATCGGCCTGCGGGACTTTGTCATGCCTCTGCGCACCAGCAACTTGAAGTATAAGGAGCTGAAGCCAATAGTGTTTCTTGGGGAGCTCGATTATCTGACGAGAGAATGGAAGTCCATACAGTACTTCCCCAAATTATTTATCTTTCCAGTAAGTGATAGACTTATTATATAATTATATAGACTGAAAAGAGACATGGGTCTATCAAGTTCATCTTTTCTCACATCTGTTTTTGCTGTTGATCCAAAAAAGGAAAAAAAAACAGTTTAAAGCACTTTCCAATCTTGCAACAAACTAGGAAAAAATCCTTCTTGACCCCAGAATGGCAGTCAGATCACTCCCTGGTTCAAGTAGCTGTTAACGTACATATAAAAAAATGATATCCCTGAATAGGATGTTTTCATCCAGTTGCTGTTTAAACATCTGTGCAGACTCTGATAAAATCACCTCTGCAGGCAGAGAATCCCACATCCTTATTGCTCTTACTGTAAAAAAAAAACCTTTCCTTTGCCTTAGACAAAATCTAATTTTCACCATTCTAAATATGTGTCCTATGTATAGTCCTGTTAATGGATAGATTTCCAGACAATAGTTTGCATTGGCCCAAAAGTATTTGTATAATGCTGTCATATCCCCCTGATGCACTGTTTTTCTAAAATAAACTAATTAGGCTTTGGTGTTTCACTGTATGTTTTATGGACAGTATAGCAGTAGTAATAAGTCTTGTTTTATTACAACCAAGGACACACATTTTTTTATCTAGCTTGTAACATTCATTGACATCTCGAAGGAACAGACGTGCATACAGAGGTTAGATTACTATGGAAAACAACATTGCAGTATTAAAAGGATACTATAGGGTTCAAAACAACTTTAGCCTAAACTTTGTTTATGGAGCCCTAGTCAAACCTCTGTGCATGTACCCTGTACAGTTTCCCTGCACAATTCATGTAACAAGATATCTAACCTCCTGTGTGTGATTATAGTTCAATTTACAGAGCAGGAGATAAAAACTTATAAAGTAAGTTAACATTTTATTAAAAATGAAAAAATGTTTTAATTCAGGCTGTCTGAGTTACAGCTTGGGTAGATGTGGCTAAGCTGCTAAACAGAAAGAATCATGATTTAACTCATAAATGGCAGCAAATTGAGCAGTTAGACTTCAAGTGCATGTTCTATACCCAAAACCTGCTTTATTAAGTTAACATTGTTTTGGTCCCTGTAGGATCCTTTTATCAGCTTGTAATATTTCTGTATTATTCACTGTGCATTTGCTATGCCTAAATGTGTGCGCAACTTACTAACAATATGTATTATAATGTCTCACATTGAAGGATAGATTGAGATTGCTTTCATTTTTAAATGTCACAGATGTGAAAGGTTTGCCAGACTAGTTAACAACACATTGATGTAATTTGTCCATTAACCATTGAATCTACACCAATCATCGTTCAGCATTAAAAATAGCATTTAAGTTTCACGCACTATGAAATGGTAAATTCTTATAGTGAACATCTCACCAGGTATGTATGATCATTTGTTAAAATTAATGTTACTTTATGAGTAAGACTTTGCACATACAGCAAAAATAGAATTATATGACGCAAAGAATCATTCATAAATATTTTTTTAATTAATGAGTATGCTGTGTGAAAGGAGGGATTATCCACTAAGATACAGAAAAGGTGGAAAATAAAAACAAATCAAAAAAGTCCCCATGAAAAAAAAGTGCCATTGCTTTGCAGTTTTTAATGGTAAAAGTCTGCATATAAAGGAAAATAATGCTGTTTGTCTAAAACGAGTAGTTTTTACAAAAGTTGTTTACTCTTACAAGTACTATGCATTTGTCTTTCACAATAATATCTAAATTTAAACTGTCTCAATGTGTGGTCTCCTATTCAGGGTTCAGGACTCTCTCATGCTAACCTGAGATCTGTGAACATATATAATTGCTCTATGTGTGCAATCCTGTCTTCAATATGGCTTGGTAACACTGCACATTATATAAAAGATACTGAGTGTATTTTGGCCACACTTAACATGAGGTCTATGACTGTTAAGAAAACAACATATAATACAGGTAAGCTGTCAACATTTAATTGAATTATCACGAATGCAGTTAAAGACTAAAATAGAGATTTTCCACCAAACATAAGAGTGGGCCTTATATTAATTTTTCCCCTAAAAAACGCACATGGGCTTATTTTTAAAAATTGGCTTAATTATTGAGGAAACACTGCAGCAAGCATGTGCAAGAGAGCAGGTCTACATTCCGGTGAATTCCCCCAAACACAGACCAGTTCACTAGGGCATGGAATCCCGCAAATAAATGTTCATAGATTAGCTTACTAGTGCATGGAATCCCGCAAATCCATGTTCAGGAAAACATTCCCTGAACATAGATTAGTTTACTAGCGACTAGAGTCTATTTTTGGGGTAGGGCTTATATTATGAGCATCCCTTAGGATGCCTTATTTTCTGAGGAAAACAGTAGTTATCAGATTCCAAAAAAATATCTACATAGAAATGTATGGTATTGGACAAACTCATACTGCTAATGAAATAATGCAATAATGGTTTAATAATGCAGTAGATTTGTTATGTTAACAACGCAAAGACTTTCATATGGCCTGTAAAATTAAAAATATTTGATATGTTTTACTGTGCCTTTAATAGAATTAATATTTTATAAAAAGACAATACAGAGCAGGATTGCTTACTTGTGGGGAGCAGAATTAATGAACCACTGGAAGTGTCTTAGTCTCTGAGATAATAAGTTCTTTTATGTATATTTTAGCTGAGATGTGCTGTTTGTGACCTGCACTTGGTTCCAGCAAATGCCTTTACTTACAATAATAAACGCTAATGGCTGTCTGTTGTCCCTGGCATTCCCTGTAAATCTAACTGCTATTGTAATTGAACAGTGGAGGATTTATGAGCTAATAAGTTACAGATACTTTGTACTTATAAAAGGATAATATATATGTAAATGCCAGGCAATGTCTTTTGCCAAACTGGTCTGATGATTAAATTAATGACTTTTCATGGCAGGATTTGCTCATTTTTGTGACCTCATTTTGTCAGATGCCATATGATGCCAGTGTGATTCCAATTCCTCCCGGGATAAGAGTCAGTTAAGGTTTTTAAACAGGAAAATTTTAATCAGTGCTGGGGAAATAGGCTTAACAAGCTTCCAAACAAACTCCACAGTGCAAGACTCACACATTATGGCTGATGTTTCCTCATTGCCTATCTAAGACCTTGATAATTAATGTTATTATTTATTTTTAAAGAACCTCAGCATATTGTGTAGTGTAGTAATGTATATTAAAATGGCAGGTATATCAAAATATGTAGCAAACATATGGGAACAAAGGTTGTGACAGATTTTCATAATAGATATTAAAATTACATACAAGACACAAAGTTCTCAATAATTATTCCACTCATTACATATCTTTGTAATTCACATGTATATCCATTCTCATTTACTGTTCACACCCATAATTGGTAAATCTCAGTGAAGGACTTTTAAAAGATCCTACCTTATCGTATCAGACCTTCCCCTTGTTTACATTTCTTTACAAAAGTCTCTCCTAACTTAACTTTCATTTAAGGAAGCTTATCTTCTGCCTGTCTCTCCTGATCTAACTAATGGATTCACAGTCTGTTTTACTCCTCCAGCTTTCCACTCTACCAATATTCCCCAAACGTATAGAATGTAACTTCATACAAGTGTCTCACCTGGCGCGCAGATCTGTGTTCTTATACCCTATTTCCTCCTAGATTGCAAAGTTATTTCAGCAGGGTTCTCTATGCTTCTTTTTTATTTAGTTAACATGCATTTTTTTTAATGTAATTGGTGTTTCATTATCAAATCATAAAGTACTATAGATTATGTTTGTGCTATAATTGATAATAATAATAATGTAGGGTTCAGGTGAGTGGTTGAAGTGTGAGATAAATAAATACAGCATTTCTAAGTGTAATGTAACTTGCATGGCCGGGTTTGGCAAAAGGTTAACTAGGATGCTTTATAGAACACATTTCAAGAGGCATCATGGTGTAACTAAAAAACACTGGGCCCTGGTGCAAAAATTGCCATATGTGTCTTATTCCCTTCTCCCCAGCCCCTCCATGTATCTCATTTCCCCCAACTACTCCCAAGTGTCTTATTCCCCACCCAGTCCCTCCATGTGTCTCATTTTCCACCAAACCCCCCAACCCCTCCATGCTTAACCAATCATTGTTAACGGAGTAGTCCCATCCCACAAGCACCTCCATGTGTCTCAGTCCCCCCAAAAAAAGTCCCTCCATGTGTCCCATCCCCCTAAGCCCCTCCACATGTCTCCTCCCCTCAAGCCCCTCCATGTGTCTCATCCCTCCCCCCAAAAAGCCCCTCCAAGTATCTCATCCCTCCTCCCTGCAAGCAATCCCCTTCCATGTGTTCCATCCCCCTTCTAACCCCCTTTCATGTGTCCTATTCTAACCCTCCAGCCACTCCATGTCTCCCTCACAGTCTATCCTCCCAGACCCTTTGTGTCCCATTCTATCCCCCCTGCCCCTTCATGTGTCCCATTCTTTTCCCTGAAGCTCCTTCATGTGTACCATTTTATCCCCCCCACCCTGTTCATTTGCTCCATTCTACCATCCCCTTCATGTGTCCCATTCTATCCCCAACCCCTAAATGTGTCCCATTCTATTACCACCACAGCCCATCCATGTGTTTCTCCCCCCCTCCTATACTTTCTCACCGCCACAGAGCAGTGCCACCGATCAGACAGGAAGTGCTCTCTCAGTGAGGACTTCCTGTCAGACTGCTCAGCCGCGCTACACGCTGGGCAGGAGGGGAGCAGCAGAGTCCATTAATCACCTCCAGCCAGTCACCCTGGAACCCGGGGCCCTGGGCCGGTGAGGCAGTGCACAGGCTCTAAAGGTATGCAGACAGCATACGATCGCAGCGGTTGCAGTAACGGCCACGCCAGCTAGAGTGACTGGCCTGTTTGACGCTGCAACCCCTGTGACCATGGTAGTTACGCCACTGCATCATGGATTTTTGCTGCAGCAAATTTGGTCAAGTATTCGGTTTACTGAATGTAGCAAGAAATTGGTGTTTGTTGAACCTAGAGTACTGGAAATAACCCTGCATCAAAGTCAAGCCTAGCACACTTAGGTAGAGGTATAACAATGTGTGCTAGTGGAGGCACATATCTTTTTTCCTCCTATTTCTCTTGAAGACTAAGACAATAATAATTCCTCTAATCATTCAGTGCTCTCAGGAACACTCAAGATTGGCAGTTTTCCAGTGATCCACCCTGAAAATTGTTATGTCCCTTCAAAAGACCACCAAACATATGATACAATGCTAATTTAGATCTCCCATTTGTTGGAAAAACCCTAATATACCTTTTTGTATGTACAACCAGATATTAACATTCTGACATCACTATGTCATTCACTAATGATGCATTGTATTGTTGATAAAGATGTGTGTGTGTTTTTCTTTTATAAAAACGCAAATAAAGAAAAAAAAACTAGGGATCGACCAATATTGTTTTTTTAGAGCCGATACCGATAATCTGTGAACTTTCAGGCCAATAGCCAGTAACGTGCCGATATTCTGTACATTTACCATTTTGAAAAAATAAACTATTTCTAAAGGTAAATGCACAAAATATACATGCCACATGAGCTGTGTTTGTGTTATAGATGCAGTGTGTATATAATGAATGCAGGGTGTGTTTGTGTAGTGTGTATAGTGAATGCAGTGAGTGTTTGTGTAGTGTGTGTATATATAGTGAATGCAGAGTGTGTGTTTGTGTAGTGTGCGTAAAGTGAATGCAGAGTGTGTAGTGTGTGTATAGTGAAAGCAGTGTGCGTAAGGTGAATGCAGTGTGTTTGTGTAGTGTGTGTATATAATGCAGGGCTACTAAACTGGTTCATGGATTGCGGGATAAAACTTACCAGGAAAGGTTAAAGGATCTTAACATGTATAGCTTGGAGGAAAGACGAGACAGGGGGGATATGATAGAAACATTTAAATATATAAAGGGAATCAACACAGTAAAGGAGGAGACTATATTTAAAAGAAGAAAAACTACCACAACAAGAGGACATAGTCTTAAATTAGAGGGACAAAGGTTTAAAAATAATATCAGGAAGTATTACTTTACTGAGAGGGTAGTGGATGCATGGAATAGCCTTCCAGCTGAAGTGGTAGAGGTTAACACAGTAAAGGAGTTTAAGCATGCGTGGGATAGGCATAAGGCTATCCTAACTATAAGATAAGGCTAGGGACTAATGAAAGTATTTAGAAAATTGGGCAGACTAGATGGGCCGAATGGTTCTTATCTGCCGTCACATTCTATGTTTCTATGTTTCTATGCAGAGTGTGTGAAGTGTGTGGATATAATGCAGAATGTGTATAGAGTGTGTATATATTGCAGAGTGTGTGTATATAATGCAGAGTGTGTGTGTATATAATGCAGAGTGTGTGTGTGTTTGTGTAGATTGTGTGTTTGTGAAGGGATGTAATCCCTAAAAAAAACAGAACCACCTCTTTCCCACCAGTATGGAGGAAGGTGATCCAGTTATTGAAACTCTTTTATACAAAGTACTTGGGCTTTGATTTAATATTGTTGAATAAGCTTTCCAAATGATTTAAAATTATTGGATGAACTTTTAAAAAGATTTTTCAACATATTAAATTATTAAAGGGACACTATAGTCACCTGAACAACTCCAGCTTAATGTATTTTTTCAAGTGAGATCTATAGCTCCCTGCAGGCAATCTAATTTTCAGTGTTTACATTGATTGATAGGAATACCTCCAGTGGCCGTCACTCAGACGGCCACCAGAGGGACTTCCTATCATGTCGGGCCCTAAAAAGGCCTTGTACATGTCAGACGATTAAAATTATTGGATCAGTCAGCTCAGCTCGCGGCCATGCACACTGCACACACCGCGCGCATGCACAGTAGTGCGCTCAAGACTTCAGAGGGCATCATGAATGCCGCCCTATGAAGTATGTGCGCATGTGCGGCAAAGCTGCGTATGCGCACAAGGGAGCAATGACGCTTCCAAAATGAAGCGTCTGATTGCTCCTTGCTCGCGCCCGCCTGTTTCGTCATTTTGACGAAATAGGGGCGCGGCTTCACGAGGCTTCCGGCGCTGGAACCAGGTGAGTAAACCACTCTTCCTGGAGAGTCCCTTTAAAATATAAGATATAAAAATTATGGAATGCATTCACTGAACATAACAATGGAAACATGCAAGTACAGAAAATTACATTGTTAAACTACCGGTAAACCATTAACATGGTTATAGTAAAGATAATAAAATTGTGACAAACGGTAAAAAAAGTGGGGTGGGATATCTTCTTAGCTTGAGTCAATAACTGAAAGCTTATCTTTTAAAGCTGGATAGGTGGATGGAAGTAGGCCTCATAAAGTTAGCCGGGTGCAATGAAAATGAAGTTTCTCTTCTTTCTGTTAGCTGGGTAGGTGGATGGAAGCAGGCCGGCAAAGATACAGGCTGCACACCATTATCAGTGAGCTCTCACTAAACCAGGAATTGATTGGTGTTTAGAAATAAGTAGCTCTTTACAGGCACCTCAGATGTTTTAGTAAGTTGTAGTTCGATTGTCAGCTTTCTACTGTAGGATGCTATCAGCTGCACTAAAACTCACATTAAATTCAGAAAAGAACACTGGAGATTGGAAAGTAGTAAATTTGTGTAGCACAACTAATTATTATTAAGTAGTAATACAAAATAAAAAAAAACTAATTAGACATAATATACACAACATAAGAAACGCAACATAGAAACATAAAAACATAGAATCACAGAAACATAGAATGTGACGGCAGATAAGAACCAATCGGTCTGCCCAATATTTCAAAATACTCTCATTAGTCCCTGGACTTATCTTATAGCTAGGATAACCTTATGCCTATCCCACGCATGCTTAAACTCCTTTACTGTGTCAACCTCTACCACTTCAGCTGGAAGACCATTGCATGCATCCACTACACTCTCAGTAAAGTAATACTTCCTGATATTATTTTTAAACCTTTGCCCCTATAATTTAAAGGATCACTATAGGGTCAGGAACACAAACATATATTTCTGACCCTGTAGTGTTTACACCACCATCTAGCCACCCTGGGCCCCTCATGCCTCCATAAATATAGCAAAATCTTACTGAATTCAAGCCAGAAGCTGTAACTCTGCATGCTGTTTGCCTAAAAAAAACAAGCAGTCTGCTGACATCATCAGAAGTGGTAGCCTGATCCAATCACAATGCTTCCCCATAGGATTGGCTGAGATTGACAAAGAGGCAGATCAGGGGCAGAGCAGGCATGATTCAAACATAGCCCTGGCCATCAGCATCTCCTCATAGAGATGAATTGAGTCAATGAATCTCTATGAGGAAAGTTCAGTGTCTGCATGCAGAGGGAAGAGATACTGAATGTTTGGATGCATTTTAGGCAGCCATGACCCAGGAAGGATCTCTAACAGTTATCTGAGGAGTGGCCAGTGAAGTTATCACTAGGCTGTAATGCAAACACTGCATTTTCTCTAAAAAGACAGTGTTTGCAACAAAAAGTCTGAAGGTAATGATTCTACTCACCAGAACAAATTCAATACGCTGTAGTTGTTCTGGTGACTATAGTGTCCCTTTAAGACTATGTCCTCTTGTTGTGGTAGTTTTTCTTCTTTTAAATATAGTCTCATATTTTACTGTGTTGATTCCCTTTATATATTTACATGCAGTGGCGTACACATGACCCATGGGGCCCCGGTGCAAAAATTGATCCATGGGCCCCCCGCGCGCTTACTCGGCGCCGCAACACATGGCGGCGGGCACCTGGTCGCAGGGTTGCGACCCCGGTATGCTGCCCACACACCTAAAGGACCACTACAGACACCCAGATCACATCAGCTCAATGAAGTGGTCTGGGTGCCAGGTCCCTCTAGTTTTAACCCTACAGCTGAAAACATAGTTGTTTCAGAGAAACGGCTATGTTTCACTGAGGGTTAATCCAGCCTCTGGTGGCTGTCTCATTGACAGCCGCTAGCAGAGATTTCGCGATTCTCACTGTGAAAATCACAGTGAGAAGACACTCAATGTCCATAGGAAAGCATTAAGTAATGCTTTCCTATAGGCGGCTTAAATGCGCGTGTGCGCCTCTTGCCGCACATGTGCATTCGGAGCTAAAAGGCGGAGGGATCCCCAGCGCCAAGGAAGTCCGGCGCTGGAGAAAGGTAAAGACACACACTCTCATGAACAGACGCATACACACTAGCTAACAGACACACACATTTACTGACAGAGACACACTCAGCGACAGACATACATACACTCACTTACAAAACATACACTTTCACTGACAAACATACACTCACTAACAGACATCAGACACACTCAGTAACAGACACACTCAGTAACAGACACACTAACACCCACACACTGTAACACTAACACACACACACTCACACACTCACACACACACACACACACTAACACACACACACTAACAATCACACACACTCACACTACACACACACACACAAATACACTAACACATGTTTTTTTTTAAATTTAATCCCCCCAGCCTCCTTACCTTTTGGAGTGCTGGGGGGATTCCCTGGGGTCCAGTGGTGCTGCTGGGCTCCTGGGCGGGTGGCCGGTCGGGCAGGCAGGCAGGCAGGCGGGCGCGCGAGGGAGCACTCAGTGCTTCCTCTTCAGCCCCCCCCCCGCGCGCCGCGTAGAGATGCCGGCGCCGGAAGATGACTTCATCTTCCGGCTCCGGTATCAGTGCGGTGCGCGAGGGAGCTGAAGAGGAGGGAGCTCCCTCGCGCGCCCGCCTGCCTGCCCGACCGGCCACCCGGGGTCAGCAGGGCCAGCCTCAGGGGGGCCCTGGGGTGGTCGGCTCCTGGGCCTCCCAGGGGAAGAGGCTGGCCCTGGGCGTACATACCGGGTCGCAGGGGCGGCCGGGCCCCCTGGTGTGCCGGGCCCGGTTGCAGCCGCGACCCCTGCGACCCTGGTATGTACGCCACTGTTTACATGTTTCTATTATATTCCCTCTGCGCAACTTTCCTCCAAGTAGCATGTTAAGATCCTTTAACCTTTCCTGGTAAGTTTTATCCTGCAATCCATAAGTTTAGTAGTCCTTCTCTGAACTCTCTCCAAAGTATCAATATCCTTCTGAAGATACGGTGTCCAGTACTGCGTACATTACTCCAAGTGAGGTCACACCAGTGTTCTTTACAGTGGCATGAGCACTTCCCTCTTTCTACTGCTAATTCATCTTCCTATGCAACCAAGCGTTCTGCTAGCATTTTCTGTTGCTCTATTACATTGTCTGCCTACCTTCAAGTCATCTGAAATAATTACCCCTAAATCCCTTTCCTCAGATGTTGAGGTTAGGATTCTATCAAATATTTTATACTCTGCCCTTGGGTTTTTACATCCAAGATGCATTATCTTGCACTTATACACATTAAATGTCAGTTGCCACAGCTCTGATCATTTTTCTAGTTTATCTAAATAGTTTGCCATCTGGCTTATCTCTCCTGGAACATATATCCCTGTTATATATTTTGGTATCATCAGCTAAAAGACATACCTTACCATCAAGACCTTCTACAATATTCCTAATAAATATATTATAGAGAATCGGTCCAAGTACAGATCCCTGGAGTACCCCACTGGTAACAAGACTATGCTTCGAATATACTCCATTGACTACAACCCTCTGTTGCCTGTCACTAAGCCACTGCCTCACCCATTTAACAATATTGGAATCCAAACTTAAAGATTGCAGTTTATTGATAAGCCTTCTATGTGTGACATGTGTGACATTGTCTACTGCACCACCCTGATCTATTATTTTAGTTACCCAATAAAAAAAAATCTATTAGATTAGTTTAGCATGACCTCCTTCAAGTAAACCCATGTTGTCTTTGATCTTGAAATCCATGTAATGTTACATGTTCAACAATCATATCCTTTAACATGGTTTCCATTACTTTCCCCACTACTGAAGTAAGGCTTACTGACTAATAGTTGCACGGCTCCTCCATACTACCTTTCTTGTGAATAGGCACAACATTTGCTAATTTCCAATCTTCTGGGACTACTCCCGTTAACAATGATTGGGTAACAAAATCAGTTAATGGTTTTGCTAGTACACCACTAAGCTCGTTTAAAGGGACACTATAGTCACCTGAACAACTTTAGCTTAATGAAGCAGTTTTGGTGTATAGAACATGCCCCTGCAGCCTCACTGCTCAATCCTCTGCCATTTAGGAGTTAAATCCCTTTGTTTATGAATCCTAGTCACACCTCCCTGCATGTGACTTGCACAGCCTTCCATAAACACTTCCTGTAAAGAGATCCCTATTTAGGCTTTCTTTATTGCAAGTTCTGTTTAATTAAGATTTTCTTATCCCCTGCTAAGTTAATAGCTTACTAGACCCTGCAAGAGCCTCCTGTATGTGAGTAAAGTTCAATTTAGAGATTGAGATACAGTTATTTAAGGTAAATTTCATCTGTTTGAAAGTGAAACCAGTTTTTTTTTTTTATGCAGGCTCTGTCAATCATAGCTAGGGGAGGTGTGGCTAGGGCTGCATAAACAGAAACAAAGTGATTTAACTCCTAAATGACAGTGAATTGAGCAGTGTAATTGCAGGGGAATGGTCTATACACTAAAACTGCTTTATTTAGCTAAAGTAATTTAGGTGACTATAGTGTTCCTTTATTAATAACTTTGGGTGTATTCCGTCAGGCCCCATTGACTTATTTGTCTTTACTTTTGACAGTTGAACCTCTTCCTCTGTAAACTCACATGTAACAAATTACTTATTTGTGTTCCTTCCTAGCTGTTCCTTTCCTTTATTTTCATCTGTAAATACTGTACAAAGATATTAATTGAGGCTCTCAGCTAGACCTATATCCTCTTCTCCATGCCTTCCTTCTTTTATTTTTAATTAATCCATGTTTTACTTTCCTTTTCTCATTTATGTATCTAAAAAATATTTTGTCCCCCTTTTTTAGTGACTGTGCTATTTTCTCTTCTGTCCGCGTGGTTTCTAGTTACGCCTCTGGGCGCAAGTAAAGGACTTGACCCTGAAAGCTTCATTCCCTTACATTGCCTCTGATTACAATAAAAATGAAATAATAATGGATGCCAAAATGCTGATTACCCCGTATTAGTTGGTAATCCAGCTAGCTGGTAAGAATTACTATATATCAGCTTTTTATAGACTATTTAAGAAATGGAACAAATCAGGACTATAGGCAGGTCTCTGTTTAACTGAGGCAACTAAACCATTTTTTATGGATGGAAGAAATCTGTGAAGTTTTCTGTTGAATATATATATATAGTATATCCCTCCCTGCCTATCTCTACTCACTGATCCACAGGGGAGCAGCTACAGAGAGTCCAGACAGCAACTCCCAGCCTGCAGAGACAGCCTACAGCTCAGGGAAGTGAGGGATGGGGGGTAAGGCTGCAAGGAGACATGGTGGCACTGGGAGCTATGGGGACACTGAGACACTAAGGGACATTGGGAGACATTATGACACGGACACTTGGGGACACTGTGACACTTGGGGACACTGGGAGATATGGGGACACTGAGACACTAAGTGACATTGGAAGATATTATGACACAGACACTTGGGGACACAAAGACACCAGGGGACACTGGGAGACATGAGGACACTGAGACAATAGGGACGCAGTGTCCCCATGTCCCCCAGTGTCCCCATGTCTTCTTGCCAGTGTCCCTAGTCCCTCAGTGCCCCTGGTGTCTCAGTGTCCCCATGTCTTCAAGTGTCCCCTAGTTTTCCAGTATCCCTATGTGTCCCAGCCAGTGTCCCCATGTGTCCCAGCCAGTGTCCCTAGTGCCTCAGTGTCCCCATGTCTCCTAGTGTCCCTGGTGTCTTAGTGTCCCTATGTCTCCCAGTGTCCCCATGTCTCCCAGTATCCCTAGTGTCTCAGTGTCCCTAGTGTCTGTGTCCCTATGTCTCCCCGTGTCCCTATGTCTCCCAGTGCCCCAAGTATATCAATGTCACCATGTCTCCCAGCCAGTGTCCCTAGTGTCTGTGTCCCTGGTGTCTCAGTGTCCCCATGTCATTAAGTGTCCTCTATTTTCCCAGTGTCCCCTAGTCTCACAGTGTCTCCACGTGTCCCCGCCAGTGTCCCCTAGTCTCCCAGTGTCCTCTATTTTCCCAGTGTCCCCTAGTCTCACAGTGTCTCCACGTGTCCCCGCCAGTGTCCCCTAGTCTCCCAGTGTCTCCTAGTCTCCCAGTGTCTCAGTGTCCCCATGTCCCCCACTGTTCCTAGTGTCTGTGTCCCAATGTCTCCCAGTGTCCCCATGTCTCCCAGTGTCCACATGTCTCCCAATGCCCCAAGTGTCTCAATGTCTCCATTTCTCTCAGTGTCCCCAGGTCTACCAATGTCTCCTGTCTCAGTGTCCCCACGCCTCACAGTGTCCCCATGTCTCTCAGTGACATAAGGACCCTGGGAGACATCGGGACATAGACACTAGGGGACACTGAGAGACATGGGAATACTGGGGGACACAGGGAGACATGGGGACACTGGGCAACATGGAGACACAAGAGGGCACTAGGATTCATGGAGCATTGAGATACTGGGACATGGGGACACTGGGAGACATGGGTCACTCAGACACTGTGATATATAGGGACACTGTGAGACTTGGGGTAATCGACACATGGGGACACTGAGTCATGAGGGCACTGGGAGACATGGGACACTGGGAGACTAGGGGACACTGATACAACGGGTGACATGGGGACACTGATACATAGGGACACTAAGACAGTGGGAGACTTGAGACACTGGGGGACAGGGAGACACTGGGAGCAATCCATCTATACAGCAGAATCAAATTGTAAGTAGTTTTTTGGTGATTTTACAGCATTTTCTCTTGTGTCACTCCTTGTGATTTACATCATGTAATGTCACCCATACATAATTAATTATGTAAATTATTAAGGCCAGTATGTTTTTCCAAGAAAGGTGGCAACCCTAACTACTTTTCACATACTCTTGCTTAAGTATGGAAACTTAAGAGGGATGTATGGAAACAAAGCTTGTGTGAACTGGCTGACAATGAAAATAGTTAAGGTAATGCTGACCTTGGTCTCTCTAACACTTTGGCATGTTCCCTTTCTTCTACACTCACTACATACAGCTTTTCTCTGTCCCAGACTATATACCAGGAGCTTCTGCCTGCTAGTAAGAAGTTAAGGAGACAAGTGGACCAGCGAGTGCTAGGGGTTAGTCCTTAGAAAGTGTTGAGCGAGCGCATCATTAGACGCATTTATGCCAAGCTCAGGGTGCTGTCTGCATAGTATGTTCTTAGTTGGCCAGCTTGCATGATTGGCAGGCAGCCTGACATGCATTCATGCCAGGCTGGCCTTCTAATTCTTTGGGCAGAC